AGAAATGAATCCAAATTATCAAAGATACAAATGTATAAAATAAATATGAATAAAATAAAACTCACTCTCCCATGCTGCCACTGGATAAAGAGTGAAATGAAACCAACTCCACAGAGTCGGAGTAAACTTTGTCCATCTCGAAGAGGACTCTCTTATAGGAGACGAACTCTGATCCGAACACACTGTCCTGGTAAACCTGCGGAGACAGAAGAGACGGGTTAGTTAAAGGAAGAGGAGACGGCTGGTTAGGAGAGAACAGTACTTCTGCCACACAAGAGAGACTAGTATCAGTTGATTCATTAGAACCAAAATGTAAAGACTTATGTCGGTTAACGTCACCTCATCGACCAACAGTACGAGTCTCTCGGCTGCAGCAAACCGAATCACTTCCTCTATGGATTTCCTGTCCTGGACGTGACCTGTAGGAAACAAACGTCAGCACAAGGAGGTGACGACAGGCGGGAGATTTAAACCGGAGGCGTTTACGCAGGTGTTGCTTCACCTGTCGGGATTCCTGGGTTGCTGATGTAAATGGCCCTCGGGTTGCAGTGCCCTCTAGAGGCCTTCAGCGCTCGGTGCAGCTCGTTCAGCTCCAGGGCCCAGCCTCGCTCCTCCGTCAGCCGGTACGACACCAGGGTCACCCCCTCCTGATCCAGCAGCCCGGGCAGGGTGTGAGGGGAGGGCACCGGGGTCAACACACCCGTCGGAGTCTCCCCCTCCTCGCCGGCCAGCAGCTTCACCAGCAGCTTCACACAACACATTGAAAAGAAAAGAAAGTTAATTAATGATTCCTTATTTCATATTTTGAGTTTTAAGGATTATTTGAGTTCATCTTTGGTTTTAATCTGTGCACGTTGAAGATTTATTTGCAAACTAGTTCAGATAAATTTCCTTGTTTGCTAATTTGAATCAAATTTATCAGTAAAACCTCGACGTGATATCTGATCAATAAATGATAATAATAGTCATTTTACCATCAGTGCCACCTGAGAACCAGTAGAGATGTAGACGTCTTTGCTGTACGAAGGAACTCCGGCGTCTCGTCTGGTGATGAACTCAGCGATGCTCTGTCTGACTCGAAGTAAACCAGCGGAGGGAGTGTAGGCACCTACGATCAAAGCGTCACGTGTCCTTAACGTTTAAATTCTACTGTGTCATGTTTTAAATGTGAGACATTTCTAAATCCTCACCCACACTTCCTCCGTCGCAGGAGTCCAGGAGACTCTGAGCTCTCAGTCTGACGTCCAGAGGAAGACTTGTGTCTTTGAGAAGGTGAGGACACAGACACGCTGCCAACACCTGAGAAAACACGATTCACAGAGGACACGATAAAGCTGAAGATGATTGAAATCCTTTAGATCCTAAGCAGACGTCAAGACAACAGCAGAGAGATTACAAAATGAAAAGCACAAACATGCAGTCTGTCTAAAGATCATCCCCGTGTGAGATCAGCCAGTTAAGCTTTGACTGTCAAAACTGGACGATAGTTTTTGCGTAGAAGAAAAAGTAAAACCAAACAAAAAGAAAGAATAAAATGAATGAATAGTCTCAAAAATGCAAAACGATATTTCTTTGAATTACAGCGAGTTCGGGTACAAATCCTGATGAACAGTTTAAAAAGTGTGCGAACGAAAACTAAACTCACCTGTCGAACAAAAGAGATTGATTTCACTCCTGCTCGGTGGGGATCGCCTGAGATCACGTCAATCACCTCTTTGAAGGATGTCTGCGCCCCCTGCAGGACGACATGTGTTAATACTAAGTTTATTTTTAAGGCACTTTTCAAAATACACGTTAAAAAAGTGATTCACTGACATAAAGAATGAAATATGAGCAGTTAACGCAGGAGACATTGGATAGAATAAAAAGCACAAAACAAGTAATAGAATTTTTAAATCTTTTTTTTCATCGCAGTTGGCTAAAGAAAATGCTGTGACATGAGCGTTGTCAGGACGGAGCGACGAGCTGAGAAAATGATGTGTGCATCTCCAAAACATCTTTGCAGTGAAGATGCTGTTTGGTCTCTGGGTCGTAGGATGTGAAGGTCAATGATCGTTCACAACATGTTATCTGAGCTGCACCGTGTTCTAGTTACCTGCGTCAACACCACCTACTTTACATAAACTTATTTACTTTAGTCCTGTGGTTCTCAACCTCGGGCTCTGGCCCCTCCAGAATGTCACCGGATAAATCCAGAGGGTCGTGAGATCAAGAAAGAGGAAAAAACGAAATTTTAAGTTTTTTTAGAACCGTCGGATAATTTTGAATGAAACATTCATGAAGTTTAGAAAGAAGACGTCCTTTTGGTTGAACAGCTAAAATACGTCATGACAGGTATGACCTCTGATTACCCTCGCTGGCACAGAGCAGGGGGCAGGGTATTGTTCTCGCGCGTGTGTGTACGTGTACAGATTCAGGGTATCTCAGGATGATTAACTTTTGAAGCTGATCGGTGGTGACGGGGGCAAAGAGCGCTGCACAACTCTGAGTTAGAGATTTTTTAAATTTGTGTAAAAATGTTGTAACATCATAAAACATTGGTTGTAAAATTTGTAGAGTAAATATAAGACATGAAGATCAGCCCTCGGATGCTTTTCATTTTATCTTTTACAATAAGTTATTTTGAAAGGCAGCTGTCAGGTAAATGTATTAAAAATAAAACATCTTTTACTGCAGCCTCCTTCACTCATTTAGCGTCTTTGCATCTTTTGCATCTTTTGAGTTTTCCAATCTGATCACTTGTTTTTCTCCAGGACACAGAGACACAGAGTGAAGCAGATAAATACATGCAGAGGAGAGTTACCTGTGAGATCTCCTGTGTGATGCGAGCAGCCAGACCCTGCAGAGCAGTGTGCGGGGACACCCTCATCCCTCTCACCCTGGGATTCACCTGCTGCAGCAAACTCATGGTCGTCTCCGTGAAATGTCCCTGAGGAGGTTTCAACTTCGCGCGAGGCTGCAAATGAACCTTCTGCAAAAGAGAGTCAGTACTTGAATGAGAGGACAGTGAATGAATAACTAGAGAAGCACTGATAATGTCAGCGTGCACTGTTTGATCAGTAATCCTTGGTGTTCACAAAAAACCTGTGTGATGAGCTGAACTGTGTCCATGGTTCACTATGAAGAAACGGAAAATCCATCTCTGCAGCTCCACAACCAGAAATATTCAAGATTTTACATTAAATTAAAATATAATCTGAAATAAACACTGTTACCTTTGATTATAATGAGCTCAGGTTTAAATATTTATTGGATTATTTCAGAAATTCATGATTATACTATAGGTTGCGTATTTATTTATATCAGTCTTATTTATTCATTTAATTCTGAACTTGAAGGGAACCAACGTCTGCAGCAATCTCGTGGAAACACCTGGAAACTCTAAACAACTGGAAACTATTAACATCTGGAATCTAAACATCTCGAAACTCAAAACACCTGCAAACTATATTTAACTGGAATCTAAATGTCTGAAAAAAAAAACTGGAAACTACAAACTGGAAACACCTGGAAACTCTTCCTGGAGCAGTGTAAGAGTACATATACTGTACCTATACGGGTCATTTAAGTTTTTATAACACCCGTTGAGTAGAGTCCAAAAGATTTATCAGCTGCCTGAGAGGAATCAGCCGACATGAGTCCTTCACAGACGTATTGTATCTGAGCCCATGTCTGCTAAAAGGAAGCGTCTAATTTTAAGGAATAAACAACACAGAAGATATTGGTATTCATTATTATTACAGTAATATTTTAATTTAACAAGGTTCAGTAAAAGTACAAATATAAAAAAAGCTTATTTATTTGTCCAGAAATCTTCTGAAAGTGTTAAAAAGAAAAGAAAAGAAAAATACTCAAGTAGCTCGACATTGTTCTTAATTATAGTTTACAGGGTGAGAAATAAAGGATTGACTTTTAATCAGTGGCACTGAATTTAAAATATAAATCAAGAGTCTCCACTATGATCAAGGCATCGATTTATCTATATATTATATATATATATATATATTATATAGATAAGATTTATTTATTTATACAAATAGATAAATGATTGCATCCTACCAATATAAAAGCCTTCACATACAAAACAAACCAATCAATCAATTCATGAATTTTATTTGTGAAGCCCATATTCATAAATCACAATTTATCTCAGTAAAACTTCAACAGGAGCAAAGAGAAACTTCTGTCGTCACGTGTAACAGAGATATAACAATATTTACAGCATTGATGAGAAAAGATCATTAATGTAGAGGAGCATCCGTCTGACAGAGATGAAGCATCAGCAGAAAAAAACTGAAAGACATTAAATCATCAACACAGATTCATTGCTGCTCTGATGATGCAAGACGATAATGTTCTTATATTAAAGAGTGATCTCGGCTCAGCGTCCTGTTTCTCATCCTCTTTTAATTTGTTGTTTGTTTCCTCACCTCAGAAGTAAACGAGTCGTGAGGAACATGATGTTCTGTGATTATTCGTCTTTCTCTGCTGGTGTGAGGTCAGAACATCTTGTCTGCTCATTGCCGCTCATCAACGTTTCCCATGACGCAAGAAGTCAAGCATTAATTCAGACTCTCACAAACACTCAGTGACTTCCATTGTGAAGCAGCTTTTATTACAGGTGCACAGATTTTTACCTCTAATCTTTGTAGAAGTTGAGTTCAGAGATTCTGAAAAAAACTTTTTGGGGAAAGATGGTTATGTTTTCTCCTCCGTCCATTTGTTTGTATGTCAGCATGATAAAATAAAAAATACCAAACAGATTGAAACCAGAATAATTCATGGATGTTGTTCAGGGGACTGATATCTACGAGTGCGTGAAATACGGTGCAACTTGATTGAATTTAAAAGGGACTGTTGGGTTTGTTCAAATGCTGTTTAAGTTTTATTTTAAATGAGAATAAATGAGAAGTCCTTCATACCGTTTTTTAAAAATTGGTTTGAGAATTTTGATTCCTTTTTTATTACACACTGTGATGTCCAGGAGATGAGGTACAAACAATTAAAAAATAAACCGGGGGGAAAAACAAGTGACCAGCGGGACGCGTTAAAGGAAAATCAAGTATTTTATTAACGTAAAATCTATACAAAAAACATTCTTCACAGAACTGAAGAGAGAATAAGGAAACAAAGAACAATCAGAAAACAAACTCCACCACCTGAAGATTAATCAGGACAACAAAAGATCACTAACAACAGTTAATCTAATCAAAACTGCATAAAGACAGACACACACACACACACACACACACACACACACACACCCACCCACCCACCCAACCAACCAACCAACCAACCAACCAAACAACCAACCAACCAACCAACCAACCAACCAACCAACCAACGCACACCACCACACAGCTCACTGACAGCTGAAGCTCTGCTCAGGGTTTTAAGCCTCCACTGTGATTCCAGAGTGGCTTCAGCTGAGACAGTGGAGCTGCTGCAGGAGTCCACAGCTGGAGGAGATGAGTGAGAGAGAGAGGAACAAACAACATGTAACACACACACACACACAGATTCAACAGTCTGTCCTGGTGATGGATGTAGTTTGTCGTCCAGATAATTTAGATAATTAATTTGTAATATGTCGTGTGTGTGTGTGTTCTAGTTCAGTAAAAGCACATTAAGGGTTAAAGAAAAACATCCTGAACATCAGGATCCTTCTTGTTTTTCATCTCGATAAAGAACGTTTGTTACATGTGACTCGTCCGTCACGTGTTCTCACATGTAGCTGAATATTTGTTTGCTTGTCATTGGTTAAAGTTCTGTGGGAAGACACATGTTAACCAATCACTGATGGTTTCTTCCAAAATCACAAGTATCATAACCTCAGAACGTAATTCATCCTGAGGGTGAGCTGACACAGGGTCAGATTCTGTTTTCAATCTTTTTGTGACTTCTCTCTCATTATTGTTGATCAATAATTATTTTATTCACCTCCATCATTGTGTTGTCAGCTGGTTACATGTGCGATGGCACCATCTGTTGGACTCCAGGAGTTGTGTACAAGAAATATGAAACAGGAAATGAGAAATGGATTATATTTTTATGACCCTGACACTGAAATCACACTTGTGTGTAAAATTCATCAGCTCGAAACCTGTTTGTAAAGTTGTGTTCTCTTGTGTTGACTCTGCAGAATGAATCCTCGTCATTAGTGAGTCGTCCTCAAACTCTTCTACAATATTCTGTCACTTTTTATTGTTCGTGTGCAGAGCTGCTAGGGAAGTGAGAAAAACTTTGTGTTCATCCTACCTGGTTTATCCGCACCGAAGATTTTATAGTCAACGTTTTGCGTAAGATGAAAGAGAATTTTGTGCGGTTTATAAAAACTGAATTTGAATCATTTACTTGTTTGTTAAAGCAATTGACAAAATTTAACAACTTTTCAAAATAAAAGCTTGATATGAAGCGTTCCAGTAACAAATCATAACCTGCTCTACAGTGATGGAGGAGACAGACGTACACGTAAGAGCTTTATTAAATGGAAACTTATGTTTAATGCAGAGTAATAATACTGGCATAGATACAAAGAGAAAACACAACTGGAGTCAAGTTGTCTCATACACAATGGCTACAGGCCGAGGGGACGTTTGCATAGACGGAGGTTTGTGTCTATGTGGACATCTAAAGGGAGCTCTAAGAACACAACTTAAAATGTCAACATAAAGTTACAGTATCTTCCATCTGACGTCCATTATCATGTTCTATCATCTATTAAAACTGGATCTACACCTGTCTGATAAATAAATGACGTTCTATACAATGAGAAATTAGACGGAGGGCATGATGGGAAGGGGGAGTAGCCACAGGGGGTGGATATGAAGCCGTGCAGCTAGTCCAGTCCAAGCTGCGTCTGGTAGATCCAGAATCAGACTGAACCACAGTCGCTGATCAGAGCCGGACGACTCGGTTCGGATGTAAAAACAGAGAGAGTGAGTCTTTGCTAGTTTTCTGTGATAGCCCTTGTTTTAGAGTTTGTCTGAACAAAGTCAACACACCTCTGTACCTTAGGTGACATCCAGGGGGCGCCACCTCCCCCAGCCCAGCGTTCTCACGCCTCTTTGAAGGTACAATAAAGTTAAGAGCCCTTTGACAGTCTTCTCGTGTGGTTTGGTTAGTAGTGAGTTCATGTGATCAACAGTCTTTAAATCCCTTTAAACCCATTTCACGGGAAGTGGTCCGAACCCAACGAGGGGATTCCTCCTCCAGTTCGTTCCAGTTACAGAGAAACTTCCTGAAATCGAACTCGAGACAAACACAACAATTAAAGGCACATACATGATATTTCTTTTTTGCTACGTGTGCCCACTGCTCTGATATTTCCGCCACATATCAGGAGGATTTGATTCTTCCTCTAGTGAAACCTGAGTTTTCTTCTCCCTTCGATCCTAAATCAGATCTGATCCATATTTTTTTCATCTTAATTTTGTTGTATTTTTCATCACTTTCTTTCCTGTTGTATTTTCTGACTTTTTACTGATATTTCCCCAGAGAATAAGTCGTGGATCTCAGACTGAGATCTCCGACTGTGACGTGGAGCAGGTCGATTGAAATGAATGGGACTGATGGGTAAGGGAGAAAAGTGTTGATCTATGACTGATGTCGTTGGTGTGTTTGCGTTCCACCACCGTTGCAAAGATCTACTTCTGCTTCCTCCCAGATCAGAGTTTTGAGGATTTTGCAGATTTTAGCTGTGAGATCGGTTGATGTTCTCTACATACTGTATCTCGACTGTGCATTGATCAGTGAAATTTGCGATTTCCTGGAGGAACTGAAATTCAAAATAGCAGATAATTAAATTTTTATTTTTCACCTGGTATATTTTTTTGTTGTGAAGGTAGTTTTTACTCTTCACATTAGCAAAGTGCTTGGGTTTCTCTATGATATTGTAAGGTCTCGACCTCACTGTGTAAAGTGCCTTTAGCACTACGATTGACAATTAGATTAATCGACTAATTGTTGCTGTTATTGCACAAGATGAAGAAAAGCATTAATCAGCAAATTTTATTGCCTGAAAATGATTAATCAATAATCAATTATTCAATTTTCTGTCCGTGCAAAATTCAGAAGTGATTTACTAATTTACTCATCGTGTGTTTCAGCCTGAGTCTGATTGTTTTTATATTTCAAGTTTTCTGAGTTTTTTATGTTTGTGTTCGTCTCTTCTTCCTCTGATGTTAGCTACAGCTCGCTGCTGGGAATCCTCAACAGTTTATTCGGAGGGAACGCGTTTTCTCTCCTGCAGTTATTGGTGGATTGCATTTCGCCACTGTAGAAAATCAAGCGTCACTTCGCCGCTCAGTCAGGCACAGTTTGAGTTCAGCGCCCTCTAGAGGACGAGAGAATTTAACTGCGCTTTGCTGCCACTTGCTGCCTCAGCTTCTCCCTCCTCTTCTTCTCCGTCAGCCTGGAAATAGAAAATTAAAAGTGTTCAATTATTTATTTTCTGAGTGTGGACACACCTAATTCATTTCATGCGAGTTTCATGATATAACTTCTTGTTGTAATGACAAGATGTTTGTACATTTTGGTAGATAAATACGTATTAGTAAAGAGCGTCTTGAGAGTCACCTGCGGTTTCGAGCCTCCACCAGCTCGCTCAGCTGATCCTGAGCCGCTCGCAGCTCCTCCAGACTCTGCTGGTAGCTGAGGTCGGCCGAGCCCGACCGCTCCAGGACCGACACCTGGTTCGACAGCTCGCTGGTTCGATCCCGCAGCAGCTGGATGGACGTGTACAAGTTCTCGTCGTCTTCCTCCTGCAGGAGGATGAAGAGATGCAGCACAGTGCAGATTAAAGAGTGTGAGTACGGCTGAGTGATCAATAATTCAGTTTGATCCATCATAATGTTTCATACCTTTGCATTGACGATCTCAATGTGGACGAGAAGTGACGCCAACTCCAGCTCCTCGCTGTAGCTGTTCTTCAGAGATACACTCCTGTAACCTGACAACACAACACAACACAACTCAACACATCGTAAATCAACACAAACTCCACACGATCAGAAAAGACCTGGAGCTTTCTCCTGCTTTACGAATAATGAATTAAACAACATTGAGGGTTAGGTGTAATGCTCACCTGTGCGGAGCAGTCGGACGGGATATGTTGCCTGTGCCAGGAAGTTGGGGTCACTGAACATGTCCTCCTCGTAGACGGTGAAGCGCAGGAAGGAAAAGGTCGGGTTGTGGATGTCAAACACAAACTGCTTCTGCACCCACACGGGATTCAGGCCGTTATCGGCTGAGAGGACGAGAGAAGGAGACAGTTAGGACTGAATGTAGCCGGGGCCCTGTGGCATCAGCCTCCGGTCGGTGGACGTCTTACCTACGACGTCCGTTTTGCACTTGCAGCCGTCGTAATCAGCTCCGCAGATCTCCACCTCCACGAAGGGACAGACGATGCTGCGGCCGTTTTTCGGGAGGTGTCGGGCCCCAAGCACCTGAAGGAAGTGGAGGAAGTGGATTCAGATCAACAAACAAAAATAATCTTATGCTGATTCAGCCCGAGATCAGGATTTTTACTTGAATTATGCAAAATCCACAGAATGAATTCCCATGAAACTTGGTGGGATGATGGAACAAGAAAGAACTTAGTACATTTTGGTAAATTCAACTGAATTTAATTGGACTATTGGGCCGAACTAGTTCTCTATGATCAGCCTGACCTGTAACTGGATGGTGATTGGCTCCACGTGCAGCGAGTCCTTGTCGAAAGGGTCAAAAGCGTCGTCCCTCATGATGTCGGGCTGGGGGACGAAGCCGCTGCCTCCTCCGAGCATGAACAACGCCTGGTTCAGCTGCATGGGTTTATCTGCAGAGATGTTTCAGCAGCTGTGAAAGTTTGTCCTTCATAGAACAAGACGACTGAAACGGTTGCACATTCACACCAGGCATCGTAACATCTTAAAACACACAAGCACACGCACACACACACACACACACACTGACCTGGGGTCTGGAAGTTGAGTGCGACCAGCTGGGAGCCGCAGAGCCACATGGGCAGCGGGTCGTAGTTGGATGAGTCCAGCCTCTGTCCTCGGGGATAAACTCTGGAGAGCTGGCGGCGGTTGTACTGCAGGAAGCGTTTCCC